CCTTTAAGCTTGAGAAATGATAAGGAGGGTGGTTGTACATACATATCCTACAAATGCGTTGCCTTGCCTTGCCCCTTTTGTACTCTGTTTGCAGCAAAATTGGAGTGTGCAGGAGCAAATGGCCGACCGGCCAGGGCAAGTGGCCTACAGCTTCCTTTGGTGGCCGACAGCTCTCAAGCTCTGAGGTGGTCAAGAGTTGTTCTGGTTCTGGAGCAGAAACAACCTGGAGATTGGTTCGGTGTTCAGGAATCAAGGCAAATGCAAACAGAGGCAACCGGTGGCAAGGCGACGGATTTTCGGGAGAAAGCCGATCGAGCATGCATGCATCCTTCGCCCTCGAGGGCTTTTAACTGCTTTACTTAGCTAGTTAATTTATTGGCTTTGTACTTAATTAGTTAATATGGTTAGCTAATCGGTTTGTATTGTAATAATTAATTAGCTAAGTTAGTTAATTAGTTTGATTGTAATAGTTAGCTTAATTAGCGTAGCTAGTTAGCTCTCTTTCATTCGGACCCTCCGTTGAGAGGCCAAATGTTGTAATAAGTGTGCGTGTGTGTGTGTGAATGTCTTTCAACCCCACGTCTTTCTCCCTTTTATTTACCTGCTTTCGATGGTTAAATTAGGGCTTATTTCAATTAGCATACCTTATGCTTGCATGCGTGCATCATTCATTCGTCTTGCATGCATTGGGCTCAGTGCATCATTCAAACTGCATTGTATTTCAATTTCTATTTGAATACATGTAGCAAATGTCGCATTCATATGTCATGATTAGGTAGCCAAGCCTACTTAGTTGCATTTTGCATGTGTTGCATTAGACATCTTAACATAGCTAGGATCATTCATGATTTCTAACTAGTTTTCTATTTTGGCTCGGAGTACACTGTAAATGTTTACGCCTTAGCATCCTTGCACGAGTGTGAGTGCTGCCATGATAGCATGCTTACCATGAGGCTATTTTCTTAATTGCTATAACTGCATGGATGCTTGTGGATGAAGGCTTTATTGCTTGAATTGGGACAATTCATCAATTGTGAGTTTTAAGCCCACTAGAAGTGGCAAATCATCATGTTTTAAGCCCACTTGAAGGTGGCAAATCCGCACTTTAGCCTACTTAAGGGTAGCAATTTCAAACCATTTTCAAAAACAAACATGAGATTTTTGTTCCAAATTAAGCGATTGAGTCTACACTTGTATGCTGTGCGCATCACATAGTAAGTTAGCTAAATAACCAGAACAAGAACACATGTGTTTATAAAAACAACATATCATGTTAGTAGAAGCCGATCCTTTGATCGGGCGAACGGGGGTGCTCATTTCAGGACCTTCCCCTCTCGTATCCAAGTTCCCAAAGCCGAGGCAACTTTGGTGATGACGGACACGTGGCCTTAGGCATGAGTCAGCATTTCCTAAATTTTCCAAAAATAAAATATTTAGGTGGCAACTCTGAAATCTGGCAAAGCAGTCCATGTTTGGCGCTTTTTGATTAAAATCTGTTTTCCAAAACGATTTTCCGGATTTGGACTCTTTGGTGAGTTATCAGTCTTGCATTGCACTTTGTGAGATTAGATTCAGAACCGTGATAGGAGTTCGAACTGTAGTAGCATGAACCCAAATCCGCGCCCTCTCCGAAAGGGGGGCGCGCGGAGGAAGTTCGGGCGGTCTACACCTACGTCTCCCATCAACTGGAAAGACGCCAAGGTCACTCTCAAGCCTCCATCTTCAATGCTGAGCATCTTAAAAATCTTCACCATCTACTCTAGCCACTTATCTGTCTTCAATGGCTCCTTTAGGTCACCCAAAAACTCATCCGAGTTCGACTGGAAAAACTCTCTTTTCAGAAAAGAAGGCCATGCCTCAGCTACCTGGGTCTAGACTTGATTCTCAGCTCTGAGAATGTCCATCGATTCCCTCAATGCCCTGGCCATCTCACGGGCTAAGGCACCCATGGCCTGCTGACCTACTGGCTTGGCCACATTTGTCTAACCAACTCTTTCCTCCTGTGCTGGAATTTCATCTGGTATAGGCATCTTGTGCCTCCTAGGCCTACCACTCCTACCTTTATGACCACGTCCTGACATCCTAATAAAGGTAACAAGGATAATTAGCACATTTACAATGTGCCAAAGCTAACTCACTCGCGTCTTAATACATTGGACAATAGTAATTCACTTCACACAAGCACATAATCACATAAACACATATGAATTTCATCTCCAGATAATGACTGTCCCTCGGTGTTGCTAAAGTTCCAATTAGAAATAGCAGTGATCAAGTGTCTTTCTAACAAAACTCCTAGAAACTCATAGACCCAATCAACATCCAAGAAATTCCATTCCATACCCAAATAATCACATAAGCATGTCGTCATATAAGCACATACTGTCTATACTAAAGTCCCTAACAAGTGAGACAAACCTATTGTGGTACTAACCACTTCCTACGTACCCAAGTATTCAAACTCGGTACTCTCTGATACCAAGTTATGGACTTTTGGCACTGTATCTTTTGCTTTTCTAGAGGAATTGACCTATACTAGCATATCATGGGTGATGTTGAGTCTCTTAACCATCTTCCATCTTTTTGCATCTCCACGGCTTTCCCCTCAGTTCTTTGTAATTAAGACATGAGGAAAAGACTACCTCAGAGTCACCAACTAGGCTATCCTTATTGTATCCATGCTTCTCTGGTTCGGTTTCTATGCTCTTGACCATGTCAGCTGCCAATGAGTGTGCAAAAGAAAGAAAAAAAATGTGCACAAAAAAGAAAAGAAAAAAATGTGCTAAAGAAAGAAAGAAAAGGGAAAAATGTGCAAAAGCAAGAAAGAAAAAAAAAAAAGATTCATTGATTGAGGGGGAGCCTCTGCTTTTTCTCACCAAATACCCCTTGATTTGCAACACAACAAAGATGCGAATCCAACCCGAATTGTGCCTATGCAGAGAAGTATGTGATGTCTATTCTTTCATGTTTGCCACTTTGCTGACTATGTCAGGGATCGAGCTGTCCGGTCAGCTCGTGGGGGTCTAGAGGGTAGTGCCCTTGGTGGGTCCGGGGCAGTGCCCAGGCGAGATCGAAAGGCAGTGCCTCAGAAGCAAAAAGCAAAAAATGCAGTCAAAGTTGCTTGTCCGCTCGAGCGGCTAATTGTGCACTCGAGTGGAGAACGTTTGGTTCCAGAAGTTTGACCTGTCTGCAAAAGTACTGGAAGTTGGGATTTTACGCTCGAGCAAACTTTCCTAAGCTCGAGCGAGGTCCGCTTGAGCGGCCATTCTTGCACTTGAGCGAAGATCGCGGATTAGTTTTTTTTATAAATATGTGGTTTCATCCGTTTTTAGGGTTACGACTTCCAGATCTTCTTCTTAGATATTAGGATTTATATCTGGAGCTTCTTTGCTAGTTTCTCTGATGTTTGTTTGAGTTTAAATCTGGTTTGAAAAGTATACATCGAAGGATTATTTGTTTATTCTATACAAAAGAGAGAGTTGTTGCTCGGTGCGTTCCGTAGAATTTGGGCCTGAAACTTTGGTGGATTTTGGAGTGGCTCATCGTCGTGGATTCGACATAGGCGTCGTGGATTCAACGTTGGGCAAGACGATTCTGAGGTGAAGACCGTGATGGAAGAGACATATAAGAGTCGGTTCAATTCAGGCGTGGATTCGTTAGGTAATTGAGAGTGCACTTGTGTAATTCATTTCGTCTTCTTAGTAGATTGTTTTGTGGCTTTTGCCCATGGCTTTTTTATCACAATTGGAGGCGCTCCAATTATGATTTTTCCATGTTCAAATCGTTGTGTTGATTTGTCTTGATTGTTTGATTAGGATTATTATTTACTGCTTAAAATTGGTACATAATCACAAATCAATATCTAGGGGATTACTAGGTTTTTCAAATGTATAATTTTGGAAAACCAATGCCAAAATCCCCAAACCGAAAAAAATAAAAAAATTAAAAAAAAAACAAGGGTTTTATGGCAATGTAGTGCACAGAGATCTAAAAATAGTAAATGCAATAATAAAATGGAAAGATGCATCATCTTCAACAATATTTTGGAAGATTTTCAATGATATTTTTAATGGAGGTTCAATAGGATCTTCAATAGAGAACTTTGTCTTCACTTCACACTACTGTAGTCTTGAATGGTCTTCACGTAAGTTTACAATGAGTCTACAAATCTGGAAGTAGGGTCACTTAACAAGTGTGTGGAAATGAGAGTTGAGTGGTGTGTGTACAATAATTATGAGTGAAGTGTATAATTATAACTTTCAATGAGTGGATTAAGAAAATTAATTAATAATCAAATTAATAAATGTGTGTACTGAAAGAAGATATGTACTGAGGTAATTAAGTGTGTAAAAATAAAATTTCTCCTCATTTTCTATCTCTCAAAACAAACAAAAACTATAACTAATCCACTAATTATCAAACAAACATAATTTTTCTTAATTCTTTTAGTAACAGTCCTCTCATCAACAATCGCACCAGACCTTCTGAATACAAACAGCCCTTAATTCCCTACTCATAATCATAGCAAAGTGGAAATTTATTTCTTTTTGGTATTTATACAGGTATTGGTTTTCGATTAAAATTGCTTCGAAGATAATTTCTTTTTTTTGGAGGCAATGAAAAGTTCAAGACACTCATTGAAGTATCATTTTCAAACAAAAATATTTTTAAAAAATTTAAAAACCAATTAAAAATAGGGAGAAACTCAACCTCCGCAAGTATCTTAAAAAGAGCCACCTCCATAAATCAATTAATTACAAAAAATACCGTGTAACAAAGAAAAATAAACAGGTGCATAGTATACTCAAAAAAAAAAATTATGTATAGCTGCATCGCATCAACTTTAAACAACTTAAACAAATTCTAGACATTTGAGATATAACTCTTTTTTTTAAAAATTTTATTTTAGCATAAGTAGCTCTATCACGCATCATCTTTCCTCGTGTAACACAATAGTTACAAAATTCACATGAAAGCAAATGAAGACCAAAATCCCAATAAATTCGAATTATCTTAGCATATTATTATTTCCATATTACAACATCCCTTGCCAGCAAATAAAGGTTTTAAATATATATTCAAGGACAAAACCAATAACCAAAAAAACAGCACTTAAAATTGCTGGCCTTATAATACTAAAATTCCGCAGACAATTGACAGAAACAAAAGGATGAGACATAAGAGGAACTTCTGAGAATCTTGCTATAATCTGGAACAAAATCCAAGTAGCATATTTCAACCGAGCACCAAAAATGCGTCGCTCTCAAAATCATTTCAATTCATACAGCGGCTGGAATTTTAGGATTTATCGAATTCAGCACCTCTTCGCCCATCTCCTTGCATCCAACCAATTTCTGAACAAACAAGCATTGACCATATAAAGACCCAAAAATAATAATAATAACATTTGAAAGAAAAAAAAAAAAAAAAAAAAAAATTGTTTGCTACTAACCATAAACAATTTTAAAGCTTATAAAACAAAAGTTTCTATAGCTGAAATATAGAAAGAAAGAAACATTATACATTTGAACATTTATGAATGGTCCACAAAAGAAAAAAACAGAAGTATAGAAATATGCATACGTTTCCTTCCGAATATATATCACCAGTGCGAAAGCCCCTATTCAAAGTATCCAACACTGCAGTCTCAATTCTCTGAGAGGCCTTCTCTTCCCCTAAGCCATACTTCAAAAGCATGGCAGCACTGAGCACTGTTGCTAAAGGGTTTGCTTTATCCTGCATATTAGACCCCCATAGTCTATAAACATTCATTACTGTTCAAAAATAAATAAAAGCATTTATTTATTTTCAGTGGAAAGAAATTGAACTGTTGTGAATTGAACCTGTCCAGCAATATCAGGAGCAGACCCATGTATGGGTTCAAATAATCCAGGTCCCTGCAGATGAATAATTGCCAAAAATGGAGAAAAACAATTCTTCAACCACAAAATATCTACAAAGAATTTGTTTGAAGTAAAGATCCAAAAACTAAAATCTTGTAAAGAATGTGAGTGATTGCCAATACCGCTTCACCAAGACTAGCAGATGGAAGCAGCCCAATGCTTCCTGTGATCATTGAAGCCTCGTCCGATAAAATATCACCAAATATATTGTTCGTCATGATTGTGTCAAACTGCAATATTTTATAGTTTGAGATTTAAGACCTCCAATTTCATCAATGTGGTATGCATGAGCTGTGTATAGAGTGAATAGAGAAATTACACAAAACTTCCACAAAGATGAGACAAACCTGTTTTGGATTACAAACAAGCTGCATTGCAGCATTGTCAACATACATGTGGGAGAGTTCAACATCAGGGTACTCTGAGGATATCGCCATTACTCTTTGCCTCCAAAGCATTGATGCCTGGTCAACATCACAAAAAAATGAAACTTAAAAAATATGGGACTATAGTTCAAATTTTATCCTCATTTATTTACCAGTATTATTTACTTTCCAGAGAAGGGAAGATGATCTTTAGTATTTATGCATAAGTTGCATTAAACAACATGAAAAGGTATATTTATAGAGCCTCTAAATTGGTGGGCACAAGTTGCATTAAACAAACCATCTTTTTCTTTTTTCTGTGTAGTCTGAGTACATCGCAACAAAATTTTACTTTTAAGAGAAAAGAGGATGCAAGATGAGAGAAAGACATTACCATTTGAAAAATCTAGAAATTCCCTAGATGTTGATTTGTGATTATGTATCAATTTTAAGTAGAATATAACAATCCCAATCAAACAATCAAGACAAAGAGACACAACGATTTTACGTGGAAAAAATGCTTATTATATTGAATTGTTTTTACATGATTATTGATACAGTACTAAAATGTGTATCAAATGGGAAGTATGAAGTGTTTTGATATGGGCCTGAGTCTCATTTGTTTGTTGATATTGGAAGTAATGTGGATATAACATATATAGTTCATTGTTGTAAGTTTGGCCAGGTTCTGAGCCATATTGATAATAAAGAAAAGTGAAACGTGTCATTGACATTAGTGTCATGAAACTGTATAATGATGTAATTGATTATCTTGGTTAACCATCTATTGAATGCTATAGTTTTATTCAATGCTTATATTTGGTTTAGTATTTTTCTACTGGGCTGTGGCTCACCCTTTATGGGAACATCATTTTCAGGTTCAGGTGATAAGCTACCTCCACGGACTTAGCCTGGAAGGATTTGATGTTTGGGATTTTGAAGACTTGTCTTTAGTTATATGTTTTACTTTGTTATTTTTTTGAGATTTCATGTCAACATTCAAGCCTAGGGCTTAACTTGTAATTGAGTTAGTACTCATCCTTTTTGTGTCCAAGTGTTAGCTTGGAACGATGTAAGCCCTTAGGGCATTTATTTTGATGTTGCAGGATGTTACATGTGATGTCTTTCAATAAGAATACTCTGATGAATAACTCAAATGATTCGTTTTCTTTTATAAATGCATGTTAATGTTATGGTTATTATGGGTTTATTTTGAGGGCGTCACAGTATTAGGGGTATACATACATTATATAGAAATATGTGTAAAATATATTGAACAAAAAGGAGAAAATAAAAAAATAAACAAATAGAGAGAAAAACAAAAACGGGAGAAAATAAAAAAATAAAAAATAAAATAAAAGAGAAAGGAATGTGAGATCATGAGATCATAGAAGGATGTGTGAGAAAAGGAAAAAGTAAGAGAGAGAAGCCGTAAAATAGAAAATGTACATGCAAGATATTTTTTAAAAAATATATTTCAGCCGTTGTTTTATAATTTGAATAGATCTGAGCTGTCTAAATGTCCTAGTAGGACAAATGTGTGTAGGACAAATTCAAAAAGCATCCTACTTTATTATATAGATGTTGAAGATTCATATGAGGTCTAAATTTATGAAATCTATCAGGTATTCAATATATTTAAAAATAATAATTAATTGTTCAAATTCATTTAATTCGTGGATTATAAAATTCATTAATTTAATCTCCACTACACACAGTAAAACCTGGCTCATAATTATGGAATCGCAGACTTTTCCATATAATATGAATAAAAATAAGTGAATAAAAATAAGAAAGTAAAAAAATTAAACAAATAGGGAGAAAAATAAAAATAGGAGAAAATAAAAAAAAATAAAAAGAACAGAGAGATGAAGGTGGGATCATGGGATCATAGAAATATGGGTGAGAAAAAGAAAAAAAATAAGAGAGAGAAGTGAGAAAATAGAAAATGTACATATAAGATATTTTTTGAAAAATATATCTCAGTCGTTGTTTTATAATTTGAATAGATTTGAGCCGTCAAAATATCCTAGTAGGACAAATGTGGGTAGGACAAATTCAAAAATCATCTTGATTTATTATATAGATGTTGAAGATTCATATGAGGTCTAAATTTACGAAGTCTATCAGGTCTTCAATATATTTAAAAATAATAATTAATCGTTCAAATTCATTTAATTTGTGGACTATAAAATTTATTAATTTAATCTCCACTACACACAGTGAAATTTGGTTCCTAATTCTGGGATTGCAGACTTTTCTATATAATATGAAAAATAGGTGAACAAAAAGGAGAAAAAAAAAATAGAGAGAAAAATAAAAATGAGAGAAAATAAAAAATAAAAAGAAAAGAGAGAGGAAGGTGGGATAATAGAAGGATGGGTGAGAAAAAGAAAAAGTAAGAGAGAGAAGCGGGAAAATAGAAAATGTACATGTAGGATATTTTTTCAAAAATATATCTCAGCTGTTGTTTTATAATTTGAATAGATCTATACCATTCAAATGTCCTAGTAGGACAAATGTATCTAGGATATATTCAAAAACCATCCTACTTTATTATATATATATATATATATATAGTTGTTGCCTTGGACTTTTTCCAAACACACCAACACCCCCTTTGTAATATGATTTTATTAAAAATAAATTAATATATCAATTACATTTTAGTTTAAGAAAAATGCTTGGGAGCACTAATTAGTGCTCCCACTAATTAGGTGGCAGTGGGTCCCGCCATTAATGATGTGATGTTTTGGTCTTGGAGTTGTGTTTTTTTTTAATGCATTAGTTCTATTAGTGGTGATGTTTTTAGTGGGATGAATCATTGTTGTTAGTTTAATTAGACATCATTTAATTTTGATTACTCTTAATTAGCCCAATTACAAATCCCACATAAATTAATTAGCCTAATTAACTTCCTTTAGAGCCTAATTAATTATATTTAAATTTATTAATTTGAATCAGATTTTTAATCGAACTCTCAAAAGGCTCCAAGTACTAAATTAAACTTATTGTCATCATCAATTTTGATTTCTCAAATCATTTAGGCCTTCAATTTCTGATCAGACTCCAAATTTTTGTCAATTAAATTACATATTCAAATTGGACACCCCATAAATAAATTTAATTTGTAATAATCACAATTCTCAATCTTCATAATTTAATTAACTTAATTAACTCCAATTAGGACCTAATTAATCGAATCTCAATTTTACTAAACTGAATCGAATATTTAATTAAACTCCCAAATAGGTCCGTAACTAAAATTAAATTGATTCAACTTCTTAATTTCACTTCCTTAAGCCATTTGGACCCTTAATTTCTAATTTCAAAATAAATCTTTAATCGAATTATATATGAATCAATCTCCATAATTTTCGTGAATCCTAGATTAAATTAGAATAATTGGCAATTAAATTTCAAATCTTCTTAATTAATTAAGTGCTAATCATTATGTGTGATGGGGTCGTTACACCTTTGAAGTCCCGAAAATTCTATCATAAAAAGCATTCCAAACAGAACCATAGATATTATAAAAAATTTCAAAATATACCATCTCAACAGAAAAAAAATTTCCCCGTGAACGACAACCCACTAAAACCACTAAAAAGCCTTTATCAAAAAAGAATGTTAAATATTATAAGTGCGGAACAACTGAACATTATGCGAATCGATGTAAATCGAAATTAAAACAGAAAATTAATGAAATGTCTTTGGATCCTATTATAGCTCAACAACTCTTACAAACTTTATGTGAAGAATAAACTGACACTAGTTTTGAGTCAGATGGACTCGCTGAGCTATATTCCCTTTCCACCTCTAGTGATGAGCTAGAAACACCAGACCCTGATTGCTCATGTTCAGCCAACCTGAACCAAATTTTTGAAATTAATTATTGGAAATCTATTGTTAAACTGAATGGTTTGGCCCTTGAAGGTCCTAGTATTCATGTTTTAACTGATGATCAGAAATCCATGTTAGATCTAGCTGAGCAAATTAAGGATCCAACAGTGAAACTCAAATTTTTAGAAATTTGTTATCAACAACAGAAAGCTAGTACTGAACCTCGTTTGATTCTTATTCAATCTTATAGCATGAAAGATGTTTTGAATAGAATACAATATTCACCTGTTATATTCTAGTATTTCTCACTTGAAAGTTTCTTCTGGAGTTTTCTTGCACATGTTCATACATGTGGTTAATTGTATCGTTATGTATAAGAATATTCTACTTTTTTGATTTTAGCTATTTCTGTTTGACCCATGTCTGTTAGGTTTTTGCCCATTTTCCTTTTTTTAAACTTGTTTCTCCCACCAGGGTGAGTCTGATGATATTTTTAAATTTCAAATTTGACCTCCTTACACCAGTAATTGGATTATTCTCTAACCTATGAAGTATGGGTACTTCGAAAAACATGCCGTATCCGTACCAGGTACTTACCGACATATGGTACTTCATATGATACTTCTGCATATGTACCGGGTATACAAAACAAGTATCCAATTTTTTTTTAAAAAATTTTTAGTGTACCTAGATGTACCTAGTATATATGCAAATCATACCATACCTTAGTTAAAACAATATTTTCTTCCACTATAAAAAATTCTTGTCACTAGACTTCTTTTTTATTTTTAGTTTTATGCTTAGTATGATTTTCAATTTAAGCTATGGTTTGTAAGTTATTTAACATATTGACATTTAATTTTTATTTATACATTTACTTTTGACATTAAATATTAATTATAGGTTGGATCTTAACAAATAAACCATTTAATCAAGTTTTCCATTATTCTAAATTTAAAATAAATATTTTTTTACAAATACACTACTTTTTTTAGATTTTATCGTATCGATGTACCCGTATCGTACCAGTACCAGTACTCGTACCCGTACTTCACAGTCTCTAACAATGTTGTTAGTCAGAATATCAGTTTTTTTTTCCTTTTATTTTGGATTGTTAATTTTTTTTTTTTTTTTGGGGGGGGTTGGGGGGGGGTTGGAGGGGGTTAGGGTGGGAGGTTTCTTTTCTCAATTCTGTAACAAGATTTACAATTGCTTAATTATTTTGCTTCTCATTGTTGCTTCAGAACAGAGACGTTGCCATCTGTATGCCTGTTTTCAATATTGGTTTAAATCAATTCGGCCATCTCATTGTAGGAGACCACGCAATGAGTATGATCCTTTGTAGGATTATCCGGCGACAGGTAACCCTGGGAATTATTCTTATTTAATTATCTACATTTGCTCCATGTTTTAGAAAGTAGATGGGTCTTCAAGTGGTGTACTAATCTTTGGTCTTGTTTTGGTGTTAAAACTTTCTATGATTTGCTCAGCTTCATGGCTACGTAATTGCCATTTTCGAGCGCTTGGTGGGCATTGGATGTGTGC